GGCCATCCTCCACCTGCACTCCTGGCACAGCAGAGAGCTGGCCTTGGAAGAGGGGCCACCGGACAGATCCGGCGCCCCGACCGGGACTAGAACCCAGTGTGCCGGCACCGCAAGGTGGAGGATTAGCCTATTGAGCCGCCACGCCGGCCAATGACTGAGCACTTTCTAAAACCCTGTGGTAAAGGAGCACAGACACACTAATTATTTCTTTTATAAAATATATCCTCTTGCTAGCAAACTCAGACACTAAAATACTTTTTAAATACACTTCATAAAACTCAGTGGAATAATAGTCATGACAATACTATGAGGAATGATATTATATACACCAGAAAATGAAAGCCAAAAAGCTATTTGTTTCTTTATTTGCTATTTGTTTAAATGGCCATTTGTTTTTACATGTAGGACAAAAGCTGAAATATAAAATATTAAAATATTTTGTGAAAATGATATTTATGGGTAGAAAATTAAAAAAGGCCCAAGAAAATTACCTGATTGGTTTATTTTACAGTACTAATTGGCATCCCAATTTGTATGTCATGAAAATGAAATGGCTGGCGCTGTGGCATAGTGGGTAAAGCCACCGCCTGCAGTGCTGGCATCCCATATGGGTACTGGTTTGAGTCTCGGCTGCTCCACTTCTTATCCAGCTCTCTGTATGGCCTGGGGAAGCAGTAGAACATGGCCCAAGTCCTTGGGCCCTTGCACTCCCATGGGAGACCTGAAAGAACCTCCTAGTTCCTGGCTTCTGATCAGCCCAGCTCTGGCCATTGCAGATACTTGGGGAGTGAACCAGCAGATGCAAGACCTCTGTCTCTCTCTGTATCTGCCTTTCAAATAAATAAATAAATAAATCTTTAAAAAAAGAAAATGAAATGGATTTATATAACTTCTAAGGATTTAAATCTGGTATCTTGATTTTACATTTCTATAGTTTCAACTCCACATTTTATGTATTAAATACAGATACAAATGTCAAAAAATACACCCATAAAAATGTAATGCCCATACTCAATCCAAAAGCAGGAGGCCAATAAAAGTTTGATAAACTTAAGAAGTAACATTAATTTTAAACTGAAATGCTAAGAACTAAATGGCCTTTGATTAATGATGTTTGTAGTATCATTGTTTTCCAACTTTTGACACATTTTTTTACCATAGGTTCCTTTTCTCCTTCTGTTCTATCTAGAAGCATTGTTAACATGCTACTGAGATGCCATGAAAATGCACTGGTCTTGCTGCTGAGTTCCCAGTTGGTAGGGTAGAGAGAACCAATAAGAGAACATAAGTGCTTCACTAAAAAAAAGAAAGTCAAGAGTTATACTAATTTCACTAAATATAAGCACAGCTGTAGATACGGAAGTTTTACAGGGTAATTTAAAATTTAGAGAAACTTTATGTTGGGAATATACTATTTGTAGAAAACAGGAGTACATTGATAAAGGTAGAAAAACCGTTAAGAAAAAATTTACCTCTCCTAATCTTAGAAATACAATTTTAAATTCATCATTGTAAGTCTCTATATTAATAAATATGGAATCACATAGTCATTTTTAAAATAAACTAATAAAACAAACATGAGTATACTTAGGAAAAATCTTTGCATTTGCATTTAACTTTGCAGTTTAAATCTACTAATTTTGTATATTTATTACTGTTACATTACAAGCTTAGTATTTTAGAGTAGCACAATGAATGTTTTTACTTCTATCATTAGAATAATATATGAAAATATTAAGAGGTCATAATCAGAGCATTAAATTTGGAGAAAAGGAAAACATTTGTTCTAACATCATCATATGCTACACATAAGCATCAAAGGAAAGTAAAATGTAATGTAGTGAACAAACTATATCTTTTGAATAGTACTTTTAGTATTTCTAATAAAGTTATCATTGAATGAAAATATGTAGCATAATATATTTAATTGCAAAAATAGAGTTTTGTCAGGGCATTAGTTCACCTGAGGAGAAAGCAGATTAGCCAAATATTTGTGAAGTAGTAATAGTAGTGGACAAGTGGACAAGTCCATCAGAATTATTCAATTGAATGTATTTTATGTAGTTTAAATGTTAATTATAATACTATGGCTATGAGAGTTTATTTTTATACTCCCTCACGTACTAATTTCTGTTATAAATTATCCATGTAAATGTTTGGTAACATAAGCCAAAGTATATTAAAAATCCATAGTAATTTTCTCCGTGTGTCATATGAAATACTACAGTTTTTCCATATTGGCAATTTCCAGCAACACCCAAAAAGAAACATCACACTCCTGCCAAAGCTAAGTCAACTGCACATTTGAGCATGCAAATGGTAAACTCAGCTGCTCCTATTAGTTTATATAGTTTATATAGTTTATATAGTTTATAGTTATATTATATATATATATATATATATATTAAGGATTCATAGAGGACTTTCCATCCCACATTGCTGTGAACTTAAGCTCACATTCATTCACTATCCACACCCTGGTATGATTCCAAAATAATTCCAGGAAATATTTTAGGACTGTCACTTTCCTACATGCATTCCTCATTCATGCAAAGATGTAGCAATTTCCTTTTTCTTCATTATCGCTTATATAAAGGCAATTGCAAAATTAGAACTATATAGACTAATCTGAACATTTTCTTGATACTTATAATGAAAAAATCTTCCATGTTTATGAACTGGAAGAATTAATATAATCAAAATGATCT